TGTAAAATATAGAAAACGTCATCTAATGAACTTCACTATAACGTTATCCCATCCAAACTGCATACGAACATTAAGAACCCCGTGATAATTTCCTACATTTGTACGATACACGCATGAACTTCTCCTGCTCTGTTCAGAACAATATACTCATGTCACAGAAATGCTAATATAAACGATTTTTTTCTCGTACTTAACACAAGCACAACCAAACAGAAAAATATGCAAAAATCCAGTTGTATTCAATGCAACTGAGTTCGTTCCAATTAAAATTTCTCGGAGGTTTCTGGAGCTATTACAGCGAAGCCACGTCCCTGCTATGGTATGTATGACAGTTAGGCGTATACTGTATTGCATATCTATTTAGAGAGCTAGATGTTAGAGCTACGTCTACCATAATTGGAGTCTACGCCATAATTGCCACGGGAGAAATACATAACCATCATACTCACTGCAGTAACAGGTGTCCTGATTTCAAATTTGTGCGGGATGCTAGTTTTTCCAAAGTAATAGTCCTTATTCCAGCTTTTCTTGCTGAGAAACTTTACTAACTGGAATACGTTCACGTAGTTGTCATCATCAAAGTGATAGAACCACCTGTTTGGTTGAACATATCACGGTGCAGAAATATAACGGACGCATTGTTGGACAATAACCTATATAATACAATATTATGCAAACGTAGACGATTTCTTGAGCTAAGATTGCTTTGCAAAGATTGACTATGATAATTGGTTTAGCTGTATGTAATTGGATTTAGCAATCAAATAAATCCCAACCAATCGTAAATATTAACTAAACAATAAAATAAAAACTGCTAAATAAATAATAATATCATTAGATTGATACAATTCTATAGATTTAGTAGAATTAGTAGTTGAATTAAATTAAATTCTTACATAATTTTTGCTAGTGTTCAGAAAGAAATCAAACTCTGCTGACATCTTGCAGCAAAGGTCAATCCTATTATGCGTATCTGGACATCCTGTGTTGACCATGTGACCGCCTGCCAAAATAATAAATTTTACTTTAATGCACCAGCTTAAACGCAAAACGTAAAAGCCTTTGAAGAATGGCGAATTACACGCGAATAAACGTGCAACACGAAAATCGGAATTAAGGAATAAAATGAGATGTTGAAACATTCTAAGCGAAGTTGTACCGGCCTCCCTCCCTCCCTCACTCTGTTCATCGCCCTCTATCTGCCAGCAGCTATATAGTGCTCATCTCTCGCAAAGTTATTACGTCACAATATTCCATTAATGACAAGACGCGCTTACGTACAATCTCCCTCACGCCATGTAAATTACTATTCATGTTAAATCATCTTAAATTCCTTAAACACATTTATTCTTTGAATAATACTTTCTTATAATTTCCAACAACGTGTACTATTGTGCCGCAGGTTATTTAGAACCCAAGATAGTAATGTTCAATGTTTCGTCATGTCGGCCATACTGGAATTTAAGATGGTTGCCATATGGTTTGTCAGACATGTCAAATCAATCCATTATTGAACTGAGCATGGCAAAATGCTCTTGCGTACCAAATTTCAGCGCCGCAGGTCATTTAGAACCCAAGATAGTAATGTTCAATGTTTCGTCATGTCGGCCATACTGGAATTCAAAATGGCTGCCATATGGTTTGTCAGACATGTCAAATCAATCCATTATTGCACTCAGCATGGCAAAATGCTCTCGTGTACCAAATATAAGCGCCACATGTCATTTAGAACCCAAGATAGTAATGTTCAATTTTTCTTCATGGTGGCCATATTGGAATTCATTTGGTTCAATGCCATTTGGTTTGTCAGACATTTCGAATTAATTCATTATTAAACCCTGCATGTCGAAATGCCCCTGTGTTCTAAATTTCAGCGCCACAGGTCATTTAGAACCCAAGATAGTAATATTCAATGTTTCGTTATCGCGGCCATATTGGAATTCAAGATGGCGGCCGATCCAGTGGTCAGACCTCTTGGATCCAGCAATTTTCGAACTCAGCATGTCAAAATACCCATTTATGCAAAATTTCACACTTTCTGCCGGATGTGAACATTTCGACCTATTTTTGTCACATATCTGCCCCACTACTACGTTGGGTCTTGGGCATGCCAGGCTAAAGCTGAATGTCAGCTGATCTCTTAATGTTATTGGTTCGATGGCTTGCAAAGATTCAGATACAGAGTGAAACTGGCTGATTTTCGTGAGGTTAACTTGGCATCTATTTTCTGTTACCAACAAGAAAAACACGCATTATATTGTTGTATCACATGGTACCACAGCTGTTGAGAAATTCGCTAAATACACTACATGGGTTAGGGAGATACATATAGTAAGTGATGTGTAAGGTCAGATCCTGCGCGAAGGAATGCAGGTAGAATCCGCAGGTATAGTATGAGGTAGTAGTAGCAGCAGCAGCAGCAAGAAAGACAAGTATATGGAACACATAGAAATAATCTTGATTGCCTTATTAAAAAAACGATATATTGTCTATGCAAATTGTTGAGAAATACGCTCACCTATGATATATCCTATAGTGACATCATCCATTGCAATAAGCCTCTTACAGAGTATCACCATGCGCATGTCGCTGGAACAGTGTATCAGTTTATATGAACATTTTCTAATATATATATATATATATCAGGTACACATCGTTAGTTACAGTTATTAGATTCATATTACTATATATTACAATAGTAGATTGTAAATGGTATAAAAATTGCTATATTATGATATGAAGCATCCTGCAAAAACAACATAATTAGAAAAGTAACTATATCCTTACCTTATATACCGTGTCATTTTATTTGCAAGAGCTCGACTAATGCAAACCAGCGCCTCCCGTGGCAAAATTGAATCTAAGCCGTGGCTGTAAAATATAAAAAACGACATCTAATGAACTTTACTATAACGTTATCCCATCCAAACTGCATACGAACATTAAGAACCCCGTGATAATTTCCTACATTTGTACGCAGTACACGCATGAACTTCTCCTGCTCTGTTCAGAACAATATTACTGCATGTCACAGAAAATGCTAATATAAAACGATTTTTTCTCGCTACTTAACACAAGCAAACCAAACAGAAAAATATTGCAAAAATCCAGTTGTATTCATGCAACTGAGTTCGTTCCATATTAAAATTTCTCGCGAGGTTTCTGGAGCTATTACAGCGAAGCACGTCCCCTGCTATGGTATGTATGACAGTTTAGGCGTATACTGTATTGCATATCTATTTAGAGAGCTAGATGTTAGAGCTACGTCTACCATAATTGGAGTCTACGCCATAATTGCCACGCGGAGAAATACATAACCATCATACATACACTGCAGTCAACAGTGTGCCTGAATTTCAATTTGCGGAT